AAAGAGAAAAGAGGGAGAAAGAAGCAAAAAACAAAAAAATGAAAAAAGGGTCATAAGAATGGAGGGAGAAAAAAAACAGAAGAAATAGAAAGAGATAGAGGGAGAGCTGGTCTAGTGACCCTGGTACTAGATATTCAATCACATGTTATTTTTCCTCAAATATCTTATATAAAATGAAGCAATATTTTCAGTAAATTTATTTAACCATATCAATAATTACAAAAATTATCTTAATATGGAACAATGGAAAACTAAATAGTTATGATGTATTTATTCATGTTCATCTTTTTTGCCTTGTTTTTAGTTCCAATTATGATTTATTGATCCAGTTTATTACTGTTCGGTCAATAATACCCACAGACATTAATTAGAAAGACTATAATATTACCATATAAATTTCTTAACAGTATTCCTGTTACTATTTGATTATAGAAAGGTATTGATAAGCTAGGCTTTTTTCTCAAAAGTGTTGCTCCAGAAATATCAACTCTAAAATGAATTGAGAGAATCTGGTATAAACACATCAGATCAAAGTAATCCTCTCTCTAAAGTTCAGAGACTCAAGTCATTTTAGTAAAAAAGGAAAAAAAAATCATTTTGTGGCATTAAAAAGTTTAAGAGACATGATTTCTGGGTAATTTAATGATTTTATTAATAATGCCAGCATTTTAATAAAAGTGTGGTCATTTGGCATCTCTCTCTTAGACCAAAGACAGTCATGGTGGCAGGCTCATAGTTTATTCACCCTTCTAAGAGTTATGTGTTGTCCTGGGTGGGAATCAACCTTGATTTGGTAATAATTAATGAGAGAATGAATACTACAAGGAGAAGCTGGACCTAAACTTTGATTGAGTCACTCACTTTTTAAGGTAAACCCAATGTTAGGCAATCCATTCAAAGAATTTATGCCCTACCCAAGCCTAAGCAGAACACAATAGCTACCCTAACTGAGTGGGGTCTAAACAATGAAAGTTACTCCAATCTCATCAGCAGTGTTCTTCAGGCCTTTAGAAAAAGGAGGGGGACTCTGGATATCCTCAAATGATTTCTTATTGATAATCATTTCTCTCATTTCTTTCAACTCACAAGTATTGTACAATCAGATGGTATGTGTGTGTGTATATATATACATATATATACACGTATATATATGTGTATATATACGTGTATATATATATACACTATATATATATGTATATATACACACACAAGTATATATGTATGTATATGTATATACTGTCAACCATTACTTAGTTCGTTCTTAGAAAGACAAACAAAATTAAGCTGCATATGTATGTTTATTTCTCTCAAAACTTGCAGAACATGCATATAGAGATATGCATGGGAGCTCATTATACAAATGAGCCCAAGGATGGACAGACAAAAGGGGATTTTATATCTTCAGAGCAATTTCCTCTCACCCCCCCCCCTTTCTGGCTCAGGATGTCTGTCAGCTCAAATTATAGTCTCCATATATGTTAACCATAATGTGAGAAAGGAATTGCTTAATTAGATAGGTTGTAAATAGAATAAGATAGAAGTATCAAAGTGTCCATTGAAATTATGGACCCCGGATGTCTGTTTCTTTTATCATTAACATAATGTAACGTAACGTAACGTAACGTAACATAACGTGTCTGTAGAATACCAAGATAAGAAAAGTCCCATTCTTCGAGACAGTGTTTGGGTTAAGGTGCCTTGTCCTTGGTAGTCATAAACAGAAGAATGCTCCTGGTCAGCTTCATCTGGCCTTGTAGTTGCTGACCCAGGAAGGGGTATTTTGGGTTCACTCAGAGAGCAAAACAAAGCAGCCAAAATGACTCTCCTGATTGGCCAATCCAGGTTTTAGGACTTTTTCAAGTCTTGGGAGTTCAAAAGGGTTTGGGGAGGGGTCTATAATACAAACACATAACATGCATACATACATACACATATGCACACACATACAAACTTGTGCAAATCTATATGTCTGTATCTAAGGATCTAGATCTAGATCTATGTGCCTAGATCTAGATACATAGATATAGGCATAGAAATAGGTATAAATGGCTAATGATGGGAAGCAGGCAAATCACCTTAGCTGTAGCAGCAAGGTATTCTGAACAGTAGACAGAAGGCAACTTGTGCTAAGAAGCCATGTTAGAAGCATAGCCCTTATAGCCATCATTGAAAGGAGTAATCCTTGTGGGGAATGGGCCTCCCTCTCTATCTTGTTGCCACCAAAGTCAACCACTGACCAACTACCATCAAGAGGCAGAGCAGCCACAAAGTGAGAGTAATAGCAATCCTTCTCTACTTGACCCTCCAAAGCCTCTACTCTCCCCTACCAGACTCTGGCCTTGTCCATCTTAGCCATAGTCCGTGGAAACCATGCTTGTGGAGCTGCAACCTGACAAATGTATTTGCAAGTGATAAAACTCTTACTCCCACAGGAGGAAGAACTCCTGACATTGATAAAACATTCTTACCACAAAATTCTTTGTCAGCTGGTTAAACAACTGAAGAGTTTTTATCCATGGACATGACACTAACTTGCACCTGCACCCCCTTCCACGTGTGTTGTTTATTTCTCCTAAAGTATGAGCTCCTTGACAGCAGAGACTGTCTTGCTCTTGCTTTCCCCCTTATATCCATAATACTTAGACAGTGCTTTGCACATAATAAGTGCATAATAAATACTGGTTTTACTCATTCGTTATTTTATTCATTCATGGAAACAAAACAATGTTGTAGGAAACAGGACACAACAATGAATTCAGATTTTATGCTGTGCTATTTTCCTTTTTTCAACAATTTTTAAACTTATGACCCTAGGTTAGATTTTTTATAAAATTTATCCTTGACTGAGGCTGCTGGTGTGTCTCAAAAAGTGAGCTTGTTTCATAAGGAGCTTTTTTTAAAAAAAAAATTTAACAGTAAATACAAATCCTTGGATTGAGTGCTAGTGGGAGCCTCCTTCCATTCTATTCTAGTCTGTGGGGAATTGTATTCTAGTGAAGTGAGGGATTTATGTCTTTAATATATATTTAAATTCAGTACCCCAAAACAGAAATTTGTGAAAAGTTACCTTTCCTTTTAAAAATGGCAAAATATGCCATTTTTCTAGGGAAAAGGGGCTTCTTTTCATAAGTCCCCCATCAAGGCAAGCATTGTATGGACGTTGTGTATACTTGTTTTCTGTTCTTTACTCACCTTCCATTTTTCAATTTGGCTCTACTTTATCTGGCATATTTTCTTTTTAGTTTCTTCTCTATTTTTTTTTCTTTTTCACTATTAGCAACCTTTAAAACCTATTGGAAGTCAAAAATGTAATTTCAAGATGATTTAGAGCTTGCAGTTATGTGAATCAAATTAAATATACATTGCTATTAATGTAGAAAGTATATGAAATCAGAATATTAACAAAATAGATTCAGTTACCCCAGTTTTAAAAAAACAACACACTTTATCCACAAGTTTTCATGTTTTAAAGAGATAAAAACATCCAAAGTTGGTGATTAATTTACCTGGGACTGTTTAATCATTTTACATAAATAGGAATTCATAAAATTTTTAACAGAGAAATAAACTTTTACTACTTCTGAAAGTAAAAGATTGAGGATTAATTAATGATTTTTATATTGGGGATGTAGGTGCTATAAATGTCAAACAGCTTTTCTAATCTATCACAATTAAAATTCTCAAAACAGCATTAGTTACTATGCCTGTCATAACCAAATGCAGGCACTGTGATTACATTAAATTTTTAATAATGAAGATGGAGTTCATTTCTTATAAAATAAATATTTTGAATCATATAAATTTTGAGGTTGAAGGTTAGGGATCATCTTGGCTTAACCTCTCAGGTCATTACTTTCTAGATCTATAAAACTGAAACGCTTGGATGATCTCTAAGTTTCCTTTTAGTGCAACATCTAAGGATTCTGTTATTTTTTGTGTTTATATCCCAGCACTTTCTACTATGCCTGACACATAATAGGTACTTACTATATGCTGATTTGATTCATTAACTGATTAATGTAATCCAATCTTTTCATGTTAAAAATGTAGAAATTCTGTCTCAGACATATTTAATGACTTTTGAAAAACACTCAGTAGCAAAAATAGGCATTGGACAAGGTTTTTTCTTTACTCTCATCAGGGCTTTTTTCAACACACCGCATTGTTTCTCACTATTCTGTACTAAATCCCCAATTGTGACAAACAAGTACCATTCAGGGTTCATTATTATTTCAGTGCTTACTCAATTCTGTCCTACATTAAATTGAATGTACATTTGAAGGTGAACACAGCAACAAAGCACATTGACTAAAAATCGTTAATGAAAATTGAGAAGTGCAAATTAGCGAAGTAATATTCTACCATGTTATCTCCCATATGGGATTTTATGAAAGATCTGTGATTTCATCAGCATGGGACTTCCATCCACTGAATCAGATTGAAACTTGTCTCTAAATAAATCTGTTAGGTCCATGGGAGTTTTGTGTGGCACCAAATAGCTTAAATGACTTGTCTAGTGTCATACAGCTAGTAAGTGTCAGGGATTAGATTTGAACCCAGTTTTTTCTCACTATAAGCATAACACTTGAGCCACTTCATTATATCTCACACCTAAGAAAGTTATTGGTTTAGGTATTTTAATGTGTGCTACTTGATGAAATACATAGGCCAGTGTGATTTTGTATACAAAGAATTGACATTTTTATGCAATACATAAACATTTGAAGGTCAAAAAAAATCCCAAACTGTCCTAATACCCTGCTTATAATGAAGCTACTTACATACAATCATTACTACTTAGCTGCAACCTGTGAACTTTAGGAAGCCACTCTGAATCCTTTACTAGTAAAGGTGAATTTTAAAACAAAACAAAATGTTCTTTGGTGTTAGCAATGAATACAAATGCATTAATGTAAAACTAAGATCCTTAGTTAATTAAAATCATAAAGAAAACATGAAAACAGTAGTAAACAATGAATTGTGTCCATCTGATTTTCCAGCTCAAGATACCAGCTACTTAGCAACACTTGGTTATGTGGTCAGATTGGATTATTCTTCTCTGAAGTCTCGGATAATGACATTCTTCTCAGAGGTAGGTCTGATTTAAATCTCTTTGGTCCATATCTGAATAACTTGACTGCTTCTGTTTTGTAAGTTATATATTATAGCTTTAAAAATAAGATGACTGAATTTTTTTTTATTTAGAGGATAAGGTGAAACTTGAGGGAAACAGTTTCCAAAAGAACTAACAAAACAGTTTCCAAAACAACACAAATGAAAAATTTTAACAACGACCATTTCTTTTTGGGAAAATTTTATATTTACCATTGCCAAGACAATATTCTTCCCAAGCTATTTCAATTTACCTGTAGATTGTAGGAAACAAAGGCTCTTTTTAATTCTGGCCACAAGCCTCTTAAAAGAGAGAAGTTCATTTTTCTCCTTTTGAGCACTGCTTCCTCACTCCCCTCCCCCCCATCCCATAATTACTGGGTATTACTTTTGTCAAATGGGATATTTCTGTTTCAAAGGCAAACCTCTGAAGAAGCCTTTACAGGGGGAAAAGGATAAGACACCAGCTCCCTTGTCTATATTAATATTAATATGCCTCTATCTGCTTCAATTGTTTCTTATGTAATCAATTGTAAGCCATTTTTCCTTTCTTCAAGACAAGAAACTAATGCCAGAGAATAGAATTCACTGATGACATTCTATACATACTTAAAGTTCACATCTGATAAAAGTAGCTGGTAAAGGCAGCATCCTGACACTTTCTGAAGAGTAATTATGGAATCTATTCTTGGATTATTATCAAAACAAGCTTGATGTCCACAGCTCCATCTCAGTGATCAGTTAAGATTCACTATTGAGAATAATAAGCCTTGGAAAGGGAAGGCAATTAAAGGACAAGAGAATGTGTGAAAGGAAAACCTGTAATTACACAAATGTGATATAACTAAAGGCATGCAGCACCTTGTGGTGATTTTTGTCCAACATTTCAATGGGAGACCATATTAATGGATTACAAACTTAAGCCAGCCTCCCAAACCCCCAACCTTTTTTCCCCCCCCTGAGATTAGTTTGCTCCAAAAAACGGTTTTTGCTTTGTTCTTAAATTCTTCCAAATTTGCCATTAAGCTTCATATCTGCTAAAAACCAAATATAATTATACAATCAAATTCTCACCAAGTTCATCCTTTTGGATGTGTCCTTCAGTTACTGGCTCTCCACTTTCAAGTGCTTGCTGTCTTACCTTGCCCTGAATTGGTGTTGGCCCTATGACTAGTAATACCAATGGATCTTTCTTCTCTTGAGTCTTTATAGCAGCTTGAATTATTTATTAAAATGGTTGAGGGCTTAAAAAAACTTGAGATTTTATACGAGTATTTTCCTTTCTCCCAACCTCTCTGTCACTGATACCTGGGAAGGTAGAATTGAAGAGAGAAATTCAGAGAAATCACCATACTGCATTAGTAGAAGTTTCTTTACTCAGGAGTTCCCTACAACTGTAAAAGTACAAGTCCTGCAACATACATATATACATACACATAGACCAAAATTACATATGCATATATAAGTATATACAAGATGCCTCAAAAGTCTTAGTGAGTTTTAAAGCTTTAATAACTTTATAAGTTTAAATGCTACACCTTAGAAAAATCATTTGAAAGTTTATTTACCTTTCTTTTCAATTTTTCAGATTTTGTGAATTTTGAGTAACATAATTTTAATTTTAATAATATAAGGCTTCTTATCATACACTGCATGAATGGCAGTTCCTCAATGACACTTTTTTTAGAATGGTGGATCAGTAGATTAGGTGACCTGAGTCACCTAATCTATCTCCATTAGACTTTGGCTTGGGAGGTCACAGCTAAACTGCTGTGTATGTATCAAAACCTCACTCTCTGGATGACCTTAAAGTTAGGATTATAAATGCAATCCTTTCAGTTACTGAGTAGCAAATGAGGATACTTTTTATAAAGTCCAAAAATTGATAAGATGTATAGCACAATATGATGGTTTTATTGAATTTTAATAAGAAACACATCAACATTTAAAAAATATGAATAATTAACCTTTTTGGGGTAGCGAGGTGGCACAGTGGATGGAATTCCAGGCTTGGAGTCGGGAAGACTTGTCTTTCTGAGTTCAAACCTGGTTGTAGACATTTATTAGCTTAGTTACCCTAGACAAGTCATTTAACTTTATTTACCTCAGTTTCCTCATTGGTAAAATGAGCTAGAGAAGGAAATGGCAAGCCACTGTAGTGTCTTGTCCAAGAAAACACCAAATGGGTTATAAAGAGTCAGACACAACTGAAAATGACTGAATAATAACAAATTAACCTTTAAAATTTTGTTTTTATAAGTTTGTAGCATTTATACTTCTGAAATTATTAAAGCTTCAAAGTACACTAATGTTTTGAGAATAACATATAACATTTTATATATATACATGCACATATATGTGTAGAGAGAGAATATATAGACCATGTATAGATACAAATATGTATACATGCATATTTATCTATCCCCAATATATACCACACATGCATTTATATATATTATATATTATAATATAAAACACAAAAATATATATTATAATATAAACATAAAATATTTACACACACAGAAACACATGTGTATGGGTATGTGTGTATGTATGTGTTTATACTCACTCCTATACACCATAGGTATACATATATATTGAATATTTGCATGTACATATATATATAATATATACATATATATATATATATATACACCCAAATTAATAGAAAGACATAAGTCTCTCTATAAATGTGCATCCATATATACCAGTGTACCATTAAATGGATTATTATAGTGTGGTCTTTTTTGTTTATTTTTATCTTTATATTATAATGAAGTTAGCTTGACAATACCTATTATGTTGGAAATATTTTCTGTGAATTAAATGCATCACAAAATTTTCTAACTATCCTATAGTTTGTATGTATCTTTTAATCTTGGGCTTGACAGTACATTATTGAGGTGCTGTATTTCCTACAGTGGAAAGGGGAAGTCCTACTCAAATGACAGAGCAATCATTCAAATTGACACCTTAATATTATATGCATTTTGTAGGATGAGTTGGATGCTTATTTACTCGGAGTAACTGTGTGAAGAATCACCTAAGCAAGTCCAGAGTTGAATGTGATTAGGATAACATTTTATTGAAGAGATTTCTTTTCAGCAAAACTATGAAGATAATGCGTGTTAAGGATAGAAATAAGATTTTTCTTTTTAAAGTCTTTTTTTTTATATTATTTCTTTTAAAGTCCTTGGCAAATAATCCTGACCAAGTCACCATTCTGTGATCCCAAGTGTGTAGGAACAACATCCATCCTTTGCAGACAGCCACCTATTAAATTGTTTTTGTTTTACAGAGTTACCTGAAGTGAAGAGGTTAAATGAAACTTATTTCTGGTCATATAGCAAATATCAGAAGTGAAATTTGAATCCAGGTCTTCCTGATTCCAAGTCCAGCACTCTCTGTACTGTGTCACTTTGCTTATCAGCTGGTTATGTGTGGAGTCCCAAACTTGTGTCTAATTGCTGTAAAACCTGAAGTTACATATTATCTCTATCATACTAGAGAGGAAGGAAGTAATACTGAGGTAAGAGTCTAGCATATGTAATCTCTAGGGTTCATCTGTTATCTAAGTTAGGGCAATGAGAGGGGAAATAGTCTGGACTACCATGGAATATCAGTTAAGAGCTAGATCAGGGGGAGTCAGCCTTAATGATGACCCAATGCTAGGAGAACATAAAGAAGCCAGGTTCAGAGAAGTAGATAATGGATGCCTAACCTCATTGCCCTCACTGCCCATTAGGACCTAAGGCCTTAATGTCAGGTTAGGGCAGTGTATAAAATAGATAAATTTATCATTGAGAGCTAAACCAGTTACTGTATTCCAGCTAGGGAATTTGCTAAAGCCAGAATAATCAGAAATAGCTAAATAGTCATGGTGAAAAACACCTTCCAGTAGTTGTATAGAGGCAGCATTTAAAATGGGATGAGCAGTCATGTGCCAGTTAGAAGATATCCTGAAGCCTCAAAAGGGAGACCTGAAGTAGAAAAGGCATTTTATCACCTAGAATCCAGAAGACCCAAGTCATTGACTCATCCCAGGTTTGTGACAATATAGACTCAAGTAAGAAATGAATTGTAAATTCTTTGCATGCCTGAATCTCAGTATAGACTGAACTTGGGAGTACCTTCCCTAAGCCATAGGTTTCTACATATGGAAATTAGTTGTTGAAACTAAAACTGTCAACTTTAGATCCAAGAAGTCTGTTTGTTAATTAATAATTATCAAGAAAACTAGAACTCAGCTAATATAAAGAGCAAGGCCTCTTAGATTACAGGAAAAGAAAGAAAACAAATATTGATTAAGCACCTACTATGCAGAAGGTGCTTTACAAATATTATTTCATTTGATCCTCACTACAATCATCCTCATTTTACAGCTGAGGAAATTAAGGCAGACAGAGATTAAGTGAGTTGCCCAGACATGCAACTAGTAAGCATCAGAAACCAGATTTGAACTCAGGTCTTCCTGATTCTAGGCCTAGTACTCTAATGTTTTGATCAGGAGTCAGGTAGCAAGTTTAAAAAAAGATTAAGTCTTAATTCAGGAATTTATCCATTAAATTTTTTTGAACTTGTAAATGATAATGATTGTAAAGTGCCTGGTAGGTAGTAAGCACTACATAATTATTAGTTGTTGTTATTAATAAACCTATAATCATAGAGTAAAGAAAGGGTGATCAAAGTTCATTGGAACTGTGATCTCATCAATATGGGTACTCCTTCAGTGGGAGAAAAGGGAAGAGGGGATTACAGAAGGATATTACATAGTGAGCAGGCTTTTCCAACATGAGGAGGGCCCAGGAGATGAAAGAGGTTCCTAAATGAGCCAGCAGTAGAGGGAACAAAGTTTTGAAATTCAGAAAAAGTTGAAAACAGAGCTCAGAGAGGCCAGGTCTTCTGGATGAGTCCAGTTCTCTATTCACTGTGCTAAGCCACGATATGTCATTCTTTATATTTGTGACATATCTCCTGAGA